TTTTAATTGAGCTTGGAAATTGCAGTGCAGTGCTAGTTTCTTGAGCCTGGCTGCAAAATCCGCAACACTTTCATTTGTTTCCTGCTTGGCCATGTTAAATTTGCACCTTTCCATTACTTCCGATGGTCTGGGATTTAAATGGTCAGTCATTAGCTTTGTCAATTCAGCAAAAGTTTTCGTCGATAACTTTTCTGGTGCTGCTAACTGTTTCATTAGCTTGAAGGCATCTTCGTCCAAACGCGTTAATAACTGCGCAGCTTGCTTTTCGTCCTTGATGTCTTTCGCGGTGAAATACAATTCTGTCCGTTCCACGAAGGTTTCCCAGTCGTCTTTGTGTAGGCAAAATTCCAATTTCATTCCATCGGACATCGTGTCAGAATCGGCACTCTCTTCTGCGTCTTTATCTTCCTCGTCGTTCTGCGCGTTTACCTCCTGGTTTCTTTCAAGGTCCACGCTACCGACCGGCTTATCTTCGCGTTCACTTTCTTTTATAACGTTTCGTAACAGTTTGCGCAGCTCGTTATAATTGCTATCGCAGTCGAAATCTACGCCTCGTCTGTTCAACTCGTTGATCAATCCCTCTTTATTCAGGTCTTGAATCCATCCGGTTTCTTTTCTTGTCGACATGCGGTAGCTGCTGACTTGCGGTAGAGTCCGTGTCGCTCGCCTTCCCGAACCCCACGACGTATCTTAGTCTCCGCGTCTGCGTTACACCTCTCGACTTAGTCTCTTGTTGCACACGTTACTCCGCACTTGATGTACACGTGGCAACATCCCATCTTCGTCGCCAAGTTGTGATGTACCCGAGTAAAGGTAGTCTCCGATACCCGTGATGAGGTTTATTAACGAATAAATGAAAAACAATTTAGAATGACATTGTACAGAGGTGATACAAATTGCGTTCGATCGGCTGCCGGTCGGTTCGACACTGACACTCTTCGCTCGACGCACGACGCGGCGGCTCGCTCGCAACACGCGGCGTTCACGCACAGCGCACGCATGCATCTACATACACCACAATTAACTTTATTGATTTCCCTCGGGGTTACAAGCTATTTACATCGTATTACATCACGCACTTACATCTATCTTACCACTATCTTATCTCTAACAACCTCCATCTTACATCTAATCTACTATATTTACAAAATTTACAATATTTCCGCACGCTCGCCGCACCGCCCGCATCGCCTACCCATTCCCCCTCTTCGCTTCTCCCTCAACCCTAATTGGCTTCCGTTTCCGTTACAATCATATAACTCCTACCTTATGCTCTCTCTCTCACACTCTCTCTCACACCCACTCCTCATTCTCACTCCCCTCCTCATCCAATCTATCCCTCCCCCCATTCTTCTTCTTCCGTCATTTCCCCCCATTCTCCCCCTTCTCTCTCTCTTCCCCTCTCCTACCTCCCCTCCCTTAATGCAAACATTAATTTACCGTGCATTCGTACGGGTAATACAGGATGATAAAGCATACGAGGTGGTAATATTGTGCAATTAACGAGGCCTTCTATTTTATCAATCTCGACGCTTGAAGTCCACGTTAATTTGCGACATTCTTCACCGACATATACTTTTGGGTGTTTTTCTTACGAGAAATTTACCTGTTTTACAAATAAACGGGCAGAGAAAACACACATCGACATAATGTATTTTCTCATCACCTTTTACATTATAAAGAGATACTATACTCTCTGTATGACCTCCATAAAAGGCATCATGTGGATTTAACGGTTTCCGCGATACAACGAGATAATTGTCTAAAAATATTAGCATATCTTCTCTAAATGCTAAAATACGATCATAATCACACTCCCACATTTCTGTTAAAATATATCTGGTCGATACGATTTTTGCTGTAATAAACTGTGTACGTTCCAAACGTGCTTCCATTGTATCCATGCTAATGCCCTGGTTCCTATTTACAGTATAACATCGGGGACAACCATGCCAGTAACACCCATAAAATTGCAATACCATGTTTGATTGTTGTGCCGTCAATAATTTCTTCGTAATAACCGTCAACTAGAATACCTTCAGGTAACTGGATTTCACGGCCATGTCCGGCGTGAGCTATGATATGACTCGACTCCATTTAAATTAGCCAAGAAACTGCTTTACGCGATTGATTTTGCCCCCAACAATAACCACCCGTTGGTATAATACCTATTGTGTTTTTTTGAAGAAAATTTTTACTGTAAACGCGAGAACATGCCGATGCTATTGTTATACCCTCTTCGAATTAAAGGACAAACATTGCCACATTTAATAAACATCTTTCGAAAACTCAAACAAGCACGACGCAATATTGTCACATCGTTTTTGCAATATTGCAAAATTTCTTTTGCAAAATGGAATATATAATTTAAACGTTTCGCTTCGCTGTACCAGAGTAATAACCGTTCACGCTCGTTGATTTGCATATAGTCAGTTGAATAATATTATAATTCTGGTAACAGGCCTACATAATTTTGATTTTCAGGTGTGTTGAATAAATGTGGGAATGTACCTTTTGTGGTGCAACCATTGAGTTCAAAAGCTTTCCGTAACGCATTCAATGGCATATGTAGATAATTTAAACTATCAAGAAACGTGGTGTGATCTATTGTCATTACAACGATATTCGTATCATTTAGTATTATCGATGGCATTTTACGCACGCCACCTCTCATCGCACAATACCGTAATAGTACATTGTGTGACAAGTGCGAGAAGTTGGCTATTGCGACGAGCGCGAAGTGGCGCACGAGCCGAAGGCGAGTGCGATCGCTCGCGCGAGTCGCAACAGCCAACTCGCACTTGTCACACATACTATTTTTCATTACACGTGCGTGGTAAAGAGGTGGTCGCTCGCTTAGTGGCAGTGTTGTTCGGCGCTCTGGGCACTTGGTGGCGCGGCGA